CAAACATCCCGAATCTAGACATAAGCAATACAATATAATCAATACGGCTAAAGGAATTAATTCCATAAGAAAAATATAAATTTTAAGCCAAAATCTAAAATTGGTCCAAACTCGGCCCCGGACCCGCATCTCGAAATCCGACAAAAATCACAAAATCCGAAAGCCCATTAACTCACGAGTCTAACCATACCAAATTTATCAAAATCCGACATCCAATGGACATTCAATTCCCAAAAATTAACTCTCCAAATCACTAGCCTCAAACCTCCCAAATTTTACCTAAAAAACTCACCAACTAGGTGTAAATTCAGTAGGGAAACAAGATTATTGACCAAAAACGAGTACAAGAAGCTTACCTCAAGAATCCCCTCGAAAAACCTCTCCAAAATCGCCAAAGACCGAGTTCAAAATGTTGAAATGAAGCCAAAATCGCGAACTCTCGTTTTTAAACATTCTGCCCAGGCCTTTCGCACCTGCGGTCACTTATCCGCACCTGCGGAACCGCTTCTGCAATTAAATCTCCGCTTCTGCGGAGTCCACTTAACCAGCTGCCTCCGCTTCTGCGAGCACGGGATCCCATTTGCGTACATCGTAGGTGCGGAAAATGCCATCGCACCTGCGGAACCAGCCGCATCTGCGCCCTTCTGCCCGCTTCTGTGACCATACAAATGCGGGAGAATCTTCGCACCTGCGATCTCTGCTACCTCTCCCTTGGCCGCTTCTTCGGCTCTTGTCCCACTTCTGCGGACTCGCACCCGCGGTTCCCACTCCGCAGGTGCGATTACACCAGCAACAGCAAAACTTCAGCTGCTTCTCAAATCAAACTCCAAGTCCGTTAACCACCCGAAATCAACCCGAGGCCCATGGGACCTCAACCAAACATACTAACAAGTCTTATAACCCAATAAGAACTTAGTCGAACTCTCAAATCACCTCAACCAATATCAAAAACACGAATTGCACACGGATTCAAGCCTAATGAATTTTAAAATTTTCAAATTTTACAAACAACGTCGAAACCTATCAAATCACGTCCGATTGACCTCAAATTTTGCACACAAGTCATAAATGACACCACGAACCTACTCCATCTTCCGAAAATTCAATCCAACCCCGATATCAAAAAGTCCACTCCCAGTCAACTTCCCAAAATTTTAACTTTCGCCATTTCAAGCCTACTTCTACTCCCGAGTTCCAAATCACAATCCGGATACGCTCCTAAGTCCAGAATCACCCAACGGAGCTAACGGAGCCATCAAAATTCTAATCCGAGGTCGTTTACACATAAATCGATGTCCGGCCGACTTTTCCAACTTAAGCTTTCAATTAAGAGACTAAGTGTCTCAATTGACTCTGAATTCACTCCGGATCCGAACCAACTAACCTGATAAGTCATAAAACCACAGTGAAGCACAAAAATTAGCAGAAAGGGGAACATGGCTACATCTCTCGAAACGACCGGCCGGGTCGTTACATGGCAACATCTTAATTTGTGCTTCGCGAATGTGAAGCACCTTTCGCGTTCGCGAAGAATAAATCACTAGGCACTAGAATATAATTTCAAAAATGAGGGTTCATCTCATTTTTCATATTTTGGACCTAGAAAGCTCGGTGTGAGGCGATTTTTCAGGGGATCTTCAAGGAGATTGTTGGGGTAAGTGATTCTAACCCGGATTGGACTATATTTTATGAATCTATTACTATTTTCATCATCTAATTAGGGATTTGAGTTAAAAATATGGGGGAAAATGGTAGAAACTTCGTAGACTAAATTTTTGAGTTTTGAAAGACGATTTGAGGTCGAATTTGAGTAATTCTTGTAAGTTGGGATTCGTTATCGAATGAGTGTTCGGATATTTTAATTTTGACCGAGTTTTGAGATGCAGGCCCGGGTTGACTTTTTGAGTTGATTTTTTATTTCTTTGCAAAGACCGTAACTTTATTATTCGAATTAGTTTTCTATAGTTTATATTTATGGTATGAAATTGTTTTGGCTAGATACAAGTCGTTCAAAGTTGGATAATCAAGGGAAAGGCCTACTAGTGGATTTAGTTAGCATGATTTGAGGTAAGTGTATTGTCTAACTTTGTGTGGGGAAGTTATCCCTTAGGATTGGTGTTGTTTTTGATAATTGGGATATGTGGAAGCCGTGTACGCAAGGTAACGAGTGTATACAGGGGCTTAATGTGGAAATTTCCGATTTTAGCTATGTAGATTCCTTTCATACCTTAATTGAGTTATCTTATCATGTTATATTCTCCATCATTAGTCTATTTTCACATGTTCTACTTGTCTTATCTCTTACTTGCTAGTTGCTCTACATGTTAAGTTGAAATTCTTATTTTTTTTATTCCGTATTCGTTATTTAACCGTTGAACTCTTTACTTGAAGTTGTCATTCTTGGAATATCTTGTTGTTGAAATTTTTATTGAGTTATAAGGGCCGTGATTCACATTGAGGCAAAGTGTCAAGTTGTGAAATGCTATTCTGTTTAGTTATTCACTTCCGGTTGTTATTATTGAGACTATTGTGTACATTGTGATTGAGCCATGGACTCTTTATTGTGAAAACACTGTTATTATTGATTTCTTACGGAGAAAAATTGGGGTCGTGACATCGAAATAATTATTTAAACTTTATGTTTGTTCAGTTATTACGTTTCTAGTTTTACAATTTCAAGAATAGGTGATAAAAAGCTTAGGGAATTTAATATTTTTTTATGTGTTTATCTTTTCTTCTATTTTATGAAGACCAAAATTCTAATAATTTTCTACTCCTACTTCGTGTTTAAAGTCTTCGGCAATGGGATGACAATTAAACAAATTTTGACCAAACTCATTTTGAGGCATTTGAAGCACACCTAAATCTTTGTTTTGCACTTTAATAAGTAACCCTTGGTAATTGAGGGGTATAATGATGCATGTTGGATCAACAGTGCAACCGAATTAACTCCACAAGTGAATACTTTTTATCGGTAGAGGAGCAGTGTCTTAGAAATCGTCCAAACAGACATGCATCGTCCGCTCTATAATGAATTCTGAATTAATAGCTTCAGACAAAGTCGGTGAAGAAGCTGAATAGTTCTAACATTTCTTAAAAGTTGATCAATTTTGGCTGAAATCATTAGCACCCATATGCATACATTGCGATAGTCAAACAACAATAGGAAGAGCTATGAGCATTATGTATAATGAAAAATTCTATAAAATAATGATGAAGACATACCGTTAGATAACTACTCTTTAGTAGAATTATCATAACTGACTATATAAAGCCAAAATATAACGTGTTGGATCTAGTTACAAAAGGCTATACTAGAAAGATGGTTGAAAGATCATCGAGAGGAATGAGAACATGGTTGAGGACAAATCATTACGACGGTAACTCTACCTAGGATACTAGATATGTAACGACCCAACTAGTCATTTTGAGTTCTAGAATTTTGTTCTGTAACTTGATACTTTGAGTGGCTTCATATGGTATATTATGACTAGCGTGCATGATTGATTTTAATATTAGATTGGTTCCGGATGAATTTGATAGAATGATTCTCAATTTGCAAGCTTTATGTTGAAAGAGTTGACCAAGATTTGACTTTTGAATAAACGACCTCCAATTGGTGATTTGATGGGTTCAATACGTTCGTATGGTAATTTTGGACCTGGGCGTATGTTCGAATTAGTATTTAGATTTTCCTAGGAGGTTTTGGCTTTATGTATTGAAAGTTAACGATTTGAAGTATTTGAGAGTTTATAGGTTTGACGGGGAGTTGACTTCGGAATCACGGACTACTTCACTAAACTATAGGAAATAGAGCAAACCCCATTTGTATCTTTATCATTACTAGAGTAGTTTAGATTTGCCCCTCTACTATGGAAAATGAAACAAATTTGCTCTCCGTTTGAATTTGATTCCAAATATGCCATAATTATGAGTGAGCTATTTCATATTAACCCCTTAAAACTAATAGAAATAATTTATTTCGGTCAACCCTTTTATTTTACGGTCAAGAATTTAACTTCTATTTCTAAAACTGCGAGAGAACAAAAAGAAGAAAAAAATATAGACCTTTTTTTCCAAAAATACGCGTCAAAACTTGAGATTCAGAAAAATATTTAATTTACTCAAAGGATACTTCTCTATTTCAATTTCTATCTTTGTGAAGATCAATACTCTCTTGTCAACGCATTGCAGTTATATGCATAATTTTATCTCAAAAGAAATAAAATTAATATTTTATGGATTTCGATCTTTCTGGCATGACAACAATCGTAGTTTCTTCAGCAAGATCAGAACTTATTACTAAATGTACATAATAACTCCCTACACTTTTCTCATTAACTTTTAATTATTATTTACTAATTTAAGAATTTTAATTTTAATTTTTGTTCTTGAAGATTATCTTTTCCATGAAAACTGATTGATTTTTTAGAAATGGTGTTCTATTTAATAGTTGTTAAATTTTTGGAGAGTAAAACTATTTAAATAGGGAAAAGACATGAATATGATGAGAAATTAGATATTTTCGGCTCTTTTATAATTTTGGATTAGTGTAATTTTCTGGTTAAAATTATTTATAAAGAATATTTGGAGTTAAAATTATTGTCTTGCATGGTGGCGTTCCATCTTAATAATAAAATATTTTTTAAATGAGTAAAAATAAGAATTTGGCAGTCTGTTAGATTTGTAGAGAAAATATGAGCTAGTCCACTCATAATAAAGACATATTTGGAATTAACTTCAAATGGAGGGTAAAATTTTTCTATTTCCCATAGTTGAAGGAAAAATCAAAACCAATCCACTAGTGACAAGGGTATGTTCAGGAACAAATCTATATATTTATATAATGCAGGGACTTAGCATCGTGACGTGGCGTCCTTATAGATCAGAAATCATCTTTATCTTTTTTCTTAATTTTTTGCCTTTTCCCTCATTTTTTGCCATTTTTATGCATTTAAGAAAACCGAAACGTCACGTCTATTTAGTCAGTTTATGACCCCTCTCGCTTATAACGTCTCATCGATTCCTTGGTGCCTATATCTCCATCTAATATGTCAAGCATCTTCGTAATCTCTACTTCTCCGATTAATCCTGACTGTCCAATCAGATAAATCATCGTTAAAACTCCATGACATTTGCCGGAGAGAATCTCCCTCCAGATGACGCCTGAAGATATTCTCCATCTACAGTCGTGTTCATCGTTCAAGAGCAATCTTTTCTCCACGGATACAACAAACTCTGGTAACTTATAGTTAATTCCGTAAAGGTGTACAAATCAAGTGTGTTTATCTAAGAATTTAGTTGATTTATTGTGTCCTACTCCTGCCTTTTCTATAAATTGAGTGATAGATTACCATATATATTTTCTATTTGATGTAATTTTTATAAGGATTTGACACATTGGTTGCCGTTGATTTACAGAAAAATTGCTCTGGCGGTTGTCATACTTATCATTTATCTCTTTGTATCATCTTTGTTTTGTTTCTCATCCGCTTATTTTTTTATGATATAATGTTTATCACTCATTCTTCTTCTCCAAGTGTGCATAGAATTTTTCTTTTTATCAGTTTGTAAAAGTGTATATGAAGTTCAGTTGTTTGCCGTCATTCATGCTTTCCTTTTGTTTTTTACATTGCTCTCTTCAGTATGTTATACATTTTTTTTCTTTATTAACAATTTTATAAAATATTTTCTTAATTGAAAGCGGAATTCTTGACTTATATATATTTTGGCAGTTTAAGAAAGGTAAATTCCATTTCAATGTTTGATTTCCACCACTTACTGCTCCAAAGAGTACCTCAAAACTGACCACTATTTCTCTAACTTATCGGGTATATGACTCCTGAAAATCTCTCTCAATGTGAAAATAGGTGTATCCATTAAAATATATAGATTGTTTCTTCGCATTATAAGCAACAACTTATTATTGAAAATAACGTTCTTTGCCATATTCAAATATCTAGTTTCTTAGATTACCATAGATATTTTTTATTTGATGTAATTTTATGAGGATTTGACACATTGGTTGCCGTTGATTTACAGAAAAATTGCTCTAGCGGTTGTCGTACTTATCATTTATCTCTTTGTATTATCTCTGTTTTGTTTCTGATCCGCTTATATTGTTAGGATATGATGTTTATCACTCATTCTTCTTCTGCAAGTGTGCATAGAATTTTTCTTTTTATCAGTTTGTAAAAGTGTATATGAAGATCAGTTGTTTGCCGTCATTCATGCTTTCCTTTTATTTTTCTACTTTGCTCTCTTCAGTATGTTATACATTTTTTTCTTTATTAACAATTTTATAAAATATTTTCTTAATTGAAAGCGGAATTCTTGACTTATATTTATTTTGGCAGTTTAAGAAAGGTGAATTCCATTTCAATGCTTGATTTCCACCACTTACTGCTCCAAAGAGTACCTCAAAACTGACAACTATTTCTCTAACTTATCGGGGTATATGACTCCTGAAAATCTCCCTCAATGTGAAAATAGGTGTATCCATTCAAATATATTGATTGCTTCTTCGCATTATAAGCAACAACTTATTATTGAAAATAACGTTCTTTGCCATATTCAAATATCTGGTGTCCTAGATTACCATAGATATTTTCTATTTGATGTAATTTTATGAGGATTTGACACATTGGTTGCCGTCGATTTACAGAAAAATTGCTCTGGCGGTTGTCGTACTTATCATTTATCTCTTTGTATCATCTTTGTTTTGTTTCTCATCCGCTTATTTTGTTATGATATGATGTTTATCACTCATTCTTCTTCTGCAAGTGTGCATAAATTTTTTTTTTTTTATCAGTTTGTAAAAGTGTATATGAAGTTCAGTTGTTTGCCGTCATTCATGCTTTCCTTTTGTTTTTCTACATTGCTCTCTTCAGTATGTTATACATTTTTTTCTTTATTAACAATTTTATAAAATATTTTCTTAATTGAAAGCGGAATTCTTGACTTATATATATTTTGGCAGTTTAAGAAAGTTGAATTCCATTTCAATGCTTGATTTCCACCACTTACTGCTCCAAAGAGTACCTCAAAACTGACCACTATTTCTCTAACTTATCGGGGTATATGACTCCTGAAAATCTCCCTCAATGTGAAAATAGGTGTATCCATTCAAATATATGGATTGCTTCTTCGCATTATAAGCAACAACTTATTATGATAATAACGTTCTTTGCCATATTCAAATATCTGGTTTCTTAGATACTGAAGTGGACGAATTTTTAGTAATTGTTCTCATATTTTGAGAAGACGTGAAATTTGAATAATGGAGTTCTTATATATTTTGAAGTTGTTCTTAGTTTTCTTTGTTCCGTTTTCTTTGCTATTTGGAGGGATGGTTTAAAAACTCATATGAGGTATAAACAAGAATGAGGACTTAGGCCAAGATGTTGTTGAAAATTTTGATATTGTTTCTTAGTTTTAATGTTGATATATGCAGAGAGTCATTTGGTGTGTATTTTGTGTTCAAGTCATTTTTGATTTGGTAAAACATGTGTGATTTTAATCAATGTCATCCTCTTGAGTAATGTATGTGTTAACCAATTTGATGGTGCTTCATGAATACTGTAATGTACTTTCTCCTTTTATGTTTCCATGGTTTTGGCAAATATGTGTGGTTTTAATCAATGTCTACCTTGAGTAATGGATGTGTTAACCATTTCCATTGTGCTTCATGTGTACTGACGTACTTTTCCTTGTACGTTTCTTATGTGTTAGTATTTTTAACACTTTTATTAAAAAAACATAATTTCATAAATTTATGAGTTTTTTTGTCACAATTGTGCTTGAAGAGGGAACTAACGTAAAGACTCTACTTGATTTGGAAAAATCTGATTTTACATTGATTTCATTTCACAACACTCAGAGGAGTGCATAAGACATGGCTCTTCTATTTTTATTTATTTTTGTATGCATTGGGTTATGTATTTTTTCATTACTCCATGGCCTTTTGTATTTATCTTTTCTTCCCAGAATTTTGCCTTTTCTCCTTAAAATGATGAAAAAAGGTACGTAATTCATTTATGAGTATTCAGTAGTCACTTTTTAAAAAGGTGTTTCACTTATGAACATCCAATAGCCACCTTTTAATATCATCTTTAATATGCAGCGCCTCCTTAAGTCCCTTCGGGGACATCGATCCGATATTACCCCCAAAAAAGTGTTTGTGCCTTCCTCGATGACTAATTTATGTTTGAAACCGCTCTTTGCCTTTCTCGGCGAGTAATTACTGTTTTGAGTCTTGAATGTGCAGTTAAATATAATCATGCACTACAGATGTTGAATTGGGCTAAATATTATCACATAGTGGTTACGCCTCTGGAAATTTAACTGCAAAACACATTTTTTTTCAAAACGTCAAAGATGCATAAAAAAAGAGAGAAGAAAAAGGTAGAACCTACAATGTCCATATACCAATATGGATCGATCCATTCAATATCATTCAGACAAGAACAAAACCAAGTGAAGCGACTATTTCTTGGCATGACAAAGCCTCCAACAATTGACACGGAGTGGTGTGGAGCTGGAACTGAAGGTCCTGCGTATGGATAGAGCTAACAAATTTTGTTCCATAGGAGTGGTATATAGTTGTTCTACTTTACTACATACATTAATTAATTGTTGTAATTTAAGAATCTTTTACCTCTTCATTGGCTTACGATGTTATGGTGATAAACCTAGCTAAATATAGCATTAATTTTAGGCTTTCTTGAGATATGAAATAATACTATCTTTTTCTACGTCGCAAGGTTTCTCTTATATCAGGTTGAGTTATATGCTTTGTGCCCATCGAAAAGTTTACATATAGTAAAAAAAAATGACAATGAATTAGAGAGAGAAGAGAAGAGAATGTCTTTACTACTATAATGCACTATATAGTATTTTCTCTAAATTTGATAAGTTAAATGATTATAAATTTTCTATTACAAGGCTTTTACCAAAATTAGTTTATTTTTTCTTTTGTTGAAACTACATTCTCTTAAATGATTTTCATTTTTCAATGTTCTATTTGGGAGTTAGTCAAGTGGGTAAACAAATATTTGAATTAGATATGTTGAAATATTTATAAGTATATATAATGCATGAAAATTATGTCTCTTCTATCTCGATAAGTTATCAATTTGATCATATAATATATTCAATAATTTTTTTCTTTTATGACCGCGCAAAGCGTAGACAACTTGACTAGTTTAAAATAAAGAATTTGCTCTACTTCTCATAGTTAAGGGGAATATTTGGCCCATTTTTCATAAAATAAATAATCAAAATAGATATGTCTTGAAATTTGGATTTCAAGTTCGTGCATATAACACAAAAATACTGCATATGTCCCAATTTATGCCGCTCACTTTCCTCTTAAGTATGTTCTAAGAAGAATGTCATGTTTCTATATTTAAAAATAATTAACTTTAAAAACTTCTAGCTTACACTTAATGAGATAATGTACAGCCACACAAATCTTTCTAGCTTATTTTATCACATCTATTTAATTTTTGTATTTATTTCATAAACTCTTTGCCCGATCAAATGTGTAACGACCCGATCGGTCCTTTTGATCTTTAAGGTTCCGTTCAAAGGTTTGAGGTCTTGAGTGACTTCATATTGTGTATTATGACTTGTGTGCATGATCGGATTTGATTTTTCGGATGACTTTAGGGGTTTAAGTTGAAAATGTTGACCGAGGTTTGACTTTTGTGAAAACGACGCCGGAACGGTATTTTGATGGCTCTGATAAGTTTGTATCGTAATTTTGGACTTCAGTGTATGTCCGTAAGTGAATTCGGAGGTACGTAAGTTGATTTGTATTCTTTTGCCGAAAGATGGCAATTTAAAGGCTTAGAATTTTGATAAGTTTGACCGTAGGTGTCACGACCCGGAATTTTCTTCCCTTGGGACCGTGATGGCGCCTGACATTTTACTTGCAAGGCAAAACAACATTAGATTAGTCTTAAGTCATTTTTAAACAATTCAAATTTAACTGATGTAAGTTATTGAAATATCTAAGATAAACTGAAATAAAGTGCGGAAAGCCATAACAACTGAAATATATAAGTACATTCCCGAATCTGATATCACAAGTTCACGAGTTACTACAATAGTACAGATAAAGCTCTGAATAAAAGTAAAGATGTCTGAAGGAAAGTACACAACTAACATAAGGAAGAAGGGGACTTTAGGAGCTGCGAACGCTGAGCAGCTGTACCTCAAGTCTCCACTCAATGGCTGACCCGAGAAATCTACAGACCGCCGCTGGGACCGACACCAAAATCTGCACAAGAAGTGCAGAGTATAGTATGCGTACAACCGACCCAATGTACTCCGTAAGTGTCGAGCCTAACCTCGACGAGGTAGTGACAAGGCTATGACAGGACACCCATGTAATTAAATTTGTGTAAGAAGTAAGTTACGAAACAGTGACAAACACAGAGATTTACAATATACAAACTGGGAGGGGACATGCAAAAGGGGAAAAATATGATAGCTGCAATAGGAGTAACATCACGTAACAGCCAAATAAATCATCAACAATGAAGAAAGATGAACCGATGATATAAAAATGGCACGGCACCACCATTTATGCTTTTACTCTCGTCCTTACCATAAATGATGACATAAGTAATATGAAATGGCACGGCATCACCCTTCGTGTTTTTACTCTCTTACTTACCACAATATACTGAATAAACGATATAAATGGTACGGCATCACCCTTCGTGCTTTTACTCTCTTCCTCACTATGTATAAATCAATAAATGAGGTAAATACAATAACACGACATCACCCTTCTGCTTTAAGACTCTTCCTCACCATAGAACAAAGATAATACAACTTTGAAAAGTAAATAATGCGTTGATTTGTATTTAACGTCAATATGATGACAAGGTACCAATTTCAACTTCCAAAATACTCAAAAATTACTAGATGATCAATAGATCCGGAGATAATGATCAAATAAGTAAAAACCTATCCTAAGCATAGATATAGAAATTAAAAAGGACAATAAATCACAAGGAAACAAGTTTCACCCGCATGCTTTCACTCAACAAAAACGCATAGGTACTCGTCACCTCACATATACGTTGTACCCACGATACTTACCTCGCTCCGCAATCAACTCAAAGTTAAACCACTGCCTTGCCTTTCGAACAAGCCTCCAAATCAACCAAATCTAAGCAAATTATTAACCAGACGATTCAAAATAAGACTTAGAACTACCCACGAATAAAAAGGGGTTCAATTTAGATCATTATTGAAAAAGTCAACAAAAGTCAACCCTAGGCCCGCTTGGTCAAAATCCAAAATTCGGACCAAAACCCGATTACCCATTTATCCCCGATCCCGGTTATGTAATTTATTTCGAAATTTGACCTCAATTCGAGGTTTAAATTCCAAATTTATAAAAATTTCCAATTCTAACTAAATCCCTAATTGGAAAGAAATAGATTGAAATCACTTACCAATGAATTTAGGAAGAAAAACTCTTGGGAAAATTACCTCTAAGGTATTTAGGGTTGAGAATTTGAAGGAATGAGCTAAAATCCCATTTTCTCCCTCTTTTACCAGCTGTAGTTATCGCAATTGTGACATAAAGTTCGCAATTGCGATGAATCCTTCGCAAATGCGAAAAAACTACTGAGCATGTTGACATCGCAAATGCGACAGTTTTGTCGCAAATGCGAACTAAGGCTGCCGCAAATGCGAACAAATGACTCGCAAATGCGAGTCTGCCTCAGCCCTTCCTTAGTCGCAAATGCGACTCAAAAGTTTGCAAATGCGAACCTGCCCCCTTTTGCATCTGCGGACTTCACTTCGCAAAAGCGAAACTAACCCAGCCCCCACCCTCTTTGCAAATGCGAGCGTGGCTTCGCATTTGCGATCAAGACCTTGAAAATGCGAGATCTGCAGACCTGATGCACCAATAATCTTTTAAGTTCAAATATTACTCTGTGGCCTATCCGAAACTCACCCGAGCCCTTGGGGCTCCAAACCAAACATGCACACATGTCCAAAAACCTCATACGAACTCGCTCGCGTGATCAAAATACCAAAATAACACCTAAAACTATGAATCGTACATAAAAAAAAATGAAATTTTCAAAAAAACTTAAGAAGTTTTAATTTTTCAACCGGACGTCTGAATGACATCAAAGCAACTCTGTTTTGCACCAAATTTTGCAGACAAGTCATAAATACTGAAATAGACCTATACCAAGTTTCGGAACCAAAATCTGAACCCGGTAGTAACAAAGTCAAACTATGGTTAAATTTATGAATTCTTTAAACCCTTAAACTTCTAATTTTCAACAAATGGCGATAATTCAAGTTAGGGACTTCCAAATTCGGTTATGGGCATATTCTTAAGTCCAAATCATGATACGAATCCAGTGAGATCGTCAAAACACAGATCCGAGTCTATTTGCTTAAAACGTTGACCGAAGTTAACTCAAATGAGTTTAAAAGCATGGTTTCACATTTTAATCAATTTTTACATAAAACTATCCAGAAAAAGACACGGACTGCACACGCAAATCGAGAAAGGCTAAATGGAGCTATTCGAGGTTTCTAAAGAAAAAAATGAAGGTTAAAACCATAAATGACCTATCGGGTCATCATATTCTCCACCTCTAAAATAAACGTTCGTCCTCGAACGGACATAGAAAAGTACCTGGGCTAGTAAAAAGGTGTGGATATCTACTCTGCATGTCCGACTCGGACTCCCAAGTGGCTTCCTCGATCGGTGACCTCTCCATTGCACTCGAACTGAAGGATAACTCTTAGACCTCAACTGCCGGACCTGTCGGGCTAGAATAGCCACCCGCTCCTCCTCATAAGTCAAATCCTTATCCAATTGGACTGAGCTGAAATATAACGGCAGCACACCGTGAAGACGGATGATCTTGTGGATGTAGATCTCAGCTAACCGCTCCGAAGAATAGGTAACTGCTACTGAAATGAAATGTGCCGACTTGGTCAACCTATCTATAATGACCCATACCACGTTGAATTTTCTCTAGGTCTGTGGGAGTCCAACAACAAAATCTATAGTGATACGCTCTCACTTCCACTCAGAATTCTCTAACTTCTGAAGCAGACCACCGGGCCTCTGATGCTCGTACTTTACTTGCTGACTATTTAGACACCGAGCTACATATGCAACTATATCTTTCCTCATTCTCCGCGACCAATAATGCTGCCGCAAGTCTTGATACATCTTGGCGGTGCCCAGATGAATAGAATATCGAGAACTGTGGGCCTCCTCAAGAATCAACTCATGAAGTCCTTCTATTTTGGGCACATAAATACGACCCTGCATCCCCAAAACCCCATCATCTCCAACAGTAACCTGCTTGGCACTATCGTGCCGTACTGTGTCCTTAAGGACAAGTAAATGAGGGTAATCATACTGCCGCTCTCTGATGCGCTCATACAAGGAAGACCGAGCTATTGTGCAAGCTAGAACACGACTGGGCTTTGAAACATCTAACCTCATGAACTGATTGGCCAAAGCCTAAACATCTAATGCAAGCGGCCTCTCACCAACTGAAATATACGCAAGGCTACCCATACTCACAACCTTTCTACTCAAGGCATCGGCCACCATATTGACTTTCTGGGGATGATACAAAATGGTGATAT